ACTGTTGAGGATGGAAATGAACCTGATGCTGGATAATCAGGGTTTGATTGTGCTGCTGGGGGGTGGATACCACTGGAGTCACTTTCTTGAAGTAGGCCGCAAGGGTTGTTTGGATAGCCATTGTCTTTTTCTCATCATAAATGGCCTTGTGGCAGCTGAGGGCCTGGTTACAAGGACAGAAGCTAAAGAAAAAAAGGGGGACAATGCCCCCTACATATGCCCTGAAATACGCTGGCTTGGGTACACTTGAATACCCTATCTTTAGGGAACTAGGCTGTCATTGTTGCCATGTTGCCAAATGCATCGCATTGTTCCCTAGAGATACATTGTGTAATTCTTTGGAGATAGCCTTGACAATCTCTCATGAATCTCTATCTCTACAAAAAGCCATGAATATCTCTAGGAATTATATGGCCACTGATGATGTGTCACCAAATGCATCATGTAGTTCCCTAGAGATATTAAAGGCTTTTCGTTAAGAGAGATTCGTATGTTTATGGCAGCCTGCATGTTCCTAAGTAGGTAGACTGTATCGCAACCCCACTCTCCTTGTGCCCCGTTTTCCCACCACCTCCTTTATGCCAAGAAGCAACTTGGTCATAAAGACAATAGAAAGCCAAGTCAAGTATAGTCACTTCCTCATTGCCCCCAAGTCAAGTCCGAGTTGAGTCACAGACTTGGGAATGATATGCTCAACCTGAGTCAACACTGGAACTTTCTAAAAGCAAAGTGCTAGAAGAACTAGGCATTTAGTCTGATCTGGCAAGGCTCTTCTTACATCCTTATGTACTAGAGAACTCCCTCTTACAACAGGAATTACTAGTTTTCTCTAAAAAATAGAAGAGAGTATTTGAAGTTTATCCAGTTTTAAAAGAGACTACAGTTCAGAGATAGTGTGGCAACTATACTAGTACAAATTACAGTATACTAAATACTGGATGCAGAACATGTTTAGAGCACCTAGAAGTGTTAATATTAGCTAAGATTTGCTATTGTGTTTTGATTGTGATATTAACTTTTTATTCTACCTGATATATGTAGCATGTCCTTTCTCTCAACATTTTCCTATTTGTTCAAAAAGCCCCTCTCATATCAACACAAGCCAGCAAACATTGTTGCAGCTAAGTCTGTTTGAAACCAGTAGGACTCATCATGACTTTGATTCTAGATTTATTTGCTTACATTTATTTGCTTAAGTTCCATGGTATGGATGCTTAAAACTGCTGCCTTAAAAGAATCTGCACTGTAGATCTATTGCTTTTATTGAAAACCAGATGGAAGTAATTTCTTCTAATAATGCCCGTGCAAGACTAAGCTATTCTTCAGCATGTTCCATTGAAGCTAATTAAATTTGTGCAGGAGTAATGCTTGAGTACGGTAATCTTAATAAAGAGATATAGGATACCATCCAATTCTTATGCATGGCAGTGTGAAGCTTGTCTCCATGTTTTGTCTGTTAATATATAACCCATTTCGGTTTCTCAGTGCCATGAGGGAAGGAGACTAAGGGTCACCAGAATATCTTGTGTTGTGGCAGTGTCTCTCTCCTTTCCTCCCCACCCCCTGAAACACCTAGTCAAAATCTCTGAGGTCACATGCAACTTTGGAAAAGCAGCTGATGCGGTTCTTTCTGTGCTGACAACAAGGTAAGGGAAAGCCACTCTGACCTAAAAGTCCTAGCTGTGAGCTTGGGGCAAGTATCCCAAAAAATCCTATGGCCATCTAAAGGTTATCTAGTGCCTAAAGTATTGCACTGATAGTGACTTGAGCATATAGTGTTTATTTCTAGGAAAATTTAAAAAGAAATTTGTTATCCATCTGAGTGGGATGGTGTAAATTGGTGTCCTGCAACAGCAATGGAGTTGAACTCTATGGCTTTCATGGCCTCTTCCAACTCTATTATTCTATGATTCTATGTAGCAGAGTTTGGAAAGACTTTTGGAGAAAACTGTCAATGTTGTAAATTTACTTTGCATGCATTTCAACACTCAGAAATAATGAAAGCAAGCTTAAAAGTCCATTATATTGCTTTAGTCCCAGTATTGTTTAATTTTTGTTTTTTACAATAGCGATGACATTAAATAATGCATCAAAAGTTTCTTTATCAAAGGGCTTAGTCCCATGTCTCTTATAAACATTTACCTGACAATGTACACAGTTCAGTAGACTTACATTGTTGTAACTTACACGATCAGAGACTTACAGCCCATTCTGGAAGATGAATCCACTTGAAGAGACACAATACAAAGCACCCCTCTGCTAGCTTATAGGCAGCACCCCCAACCTATAGTAATTGTTGAACAGGGATAACATGTCTTCACTCAGGACTCAGAGGTGAGGTACCAGACCTTGCAATAAACCTGAATGCCAACTGTGCTGATTAATAAAATGTGATGATAATGTAAGTGCACCCTTTGGGGCAGTCCACTTCAGCCAGGACAAATATATCTATACATCATGGATTATTGTGCATTTGATCTCCTTAAGTGCCTAAAAAGTGACCATTTAGGTTGGTCAAACAAGATTTAAAAAATGGTTAAAGTACACCTTGAACATCCAACATAAGAATGATGATAAACATGTCAGGAAAGATTTTAACTGTCTTGCAGATATCATTGTGGATATTAGGGTGACAGTTCTAAACAAACAAATCAGTTTCACTTGGAATGTTACGTTGCAGTAGAAAAAAAAATAAAACTTGATTGTGTGAATCAGGGACTCAAAAGGAAGTATGGTTTCTTTGACATTACAAAGGCTGTGAAAGCAATCCTATGGTTCCTGGGTGAGCATCATAGTGACCATAATATGGCTCATATTTTTCCCTTTTAAGGTCCAATACTCCAAACTTAGAGAACTTCCCTCTTCCCTCCTCAAAGCTAGTGTAGAGGAAACTACACTGGACTGTCTCTCCAAGCTAGAAAATGAACCTTGGGAGAGATTGGAGAGCTTTCTGGTAAGCAGAGGGGCAAGAAAACAGAACAGGCTACAATTTTTCTTGAGTGTCCTCCAGCTTCCTTCCTTCTCCTGAAACACCCTAGGTAAAATCCCACCCAGCAGAATCGAAGTATGTGGGAGCAAAGACTGCAACTACTCCTCCTTTTACCCTGCTGGCTTCAGTCTAGCAAAGCATAGCAGTCTCTCTTCCCCATTTGGGGCCTTCTGAGCAGCAATGGTGCAATCCATAACTGCACTTGTACTGCATGGTTTATCATGTTGCTTTAAGAGAATGATTGCTGTGGGTCTTCTGGTTTAATTCTCCTTTTAGACTTAATGCTTACAGTTGGGTTTATACCAGCTGATAGAATGGGTTGTTACCTAGGAAAGCCTATGCTAAGATACTGAACTAGATGAAAAACTAAAACAGGCTATAAGTGTGCTAACCCTTTGAACTGTAATATTGATATGAGTATTTCAACAAACCCAAGTTTCCTATGCTGGTAATTTGTGTTTTGTTTTGTTTACCCAAGAATGCATACTCCAACTTTGTGGGCAAACTGGTTTCTCATTAAAATCATGTTTTTAAGAATTGCACACAGTGGCCCTGTGCTACAGATCCTGCTGCTGTATCGCTACCATGTCCAAAGCTTTCCTGCTGAGCAGAATGGCAGTGTGGTGAGATGGTGGACCTGCTCTAGTTGCTGGATGTGCAGTGGCTAAATCTGCATGCAGCTCACCCTTGCTGATCAGGGTAACCATATTTCATTTGTATTTTAATACAAGTATACAGGTCCATCACATGATACTTGGGGAAATGTCTGAGGGGGGGCTTAGGATTTTTGCAGACCTCACTTTCCACAGGCAGAGGGATTCTCTGTGCAAAGGAATTTGTCCCTGTGCAGAGAATGTGTCTTCATATTTTCTGCTTGGGCGGGGTTTAAGAAATAGCAGTCTGCCTGCCACAGATTCTCCTCCAACCCCAACAGAATTGTTTTCCTAGCAATTGAACCTTGCCTCATATGGAAAAGGGGACTGAGTAACAATACAAAAGGTTGCCAATTTATACAGAGCACAGCAGCTGTCCAGACTTAGTATAGTCTAGAGGGATTATATGTGGCCTTCCTCACTTGCTTAACTAGCTTACAGCAGTTTAGCTGATCAAGAAAGATTCACCAGCTGTCAAACATCATTTCAGTTTTGAAGAAACAACTGTAAACTGCTTCTCAAAACCATCTGATCATATGAAAGGCCGTAATCAATACAGAAGAATTTATTCTATCCTACCATATTTGGTAGACAAGATAATCTGCTTTTATCCAGGAATCTGTTGTGGGTGTAGGATGTTCTTTTATATACTTCATTCCATAGGAATTGGAAGGCATAAGGGACTTTGACATTTTTGTTGTATGTGAAAAAATCCCAATTACCATTTAGAGTTTGATATTTTAATATCATTCACTTTTAAAAGGTGACTTTAAACAGATGTTCTGATTCTAATTAGTTGTCTTTAGAGTGCAATCCTATGCATGTCTTCTTAGTGACAAGTCCACTGGAACTTACTCCCAGGATGTTCATAGGATTGTAGTCTTAGAATAATATGCAATTGAGATTTAAAATACAGTTAATATGATGTTCTGTCTGGAGACTATTTAGCCAAACAATTGTTATAAAGAACAAAATAACTATGTATCTCTGTTATGCTACTGAAAAATGAGTTTTAAAATCAATTTATATTTGGTTTGATGTGTTAAAGTCAGAGGCACAAAATGTAACACAAAACTAAGCACAAACCAATGAATCAGGTCCCACTTTAAGTACATACAGCTGTACTGATAGATGCAGACTTTCTTGGCCTCTCCTCTCCTCTGAAATAGCTACACAGAGATGACCAGGGGAATCCTGCTAAATGGGTGAGTCCTGATGGGGAGGACAGAAATCACTCCAAACAAGCAAAAGCAGCTTCTGTAAGCAGAACCCTTCTGTCTACTTTCTTAAGAGTACACCCCCTCCATTTTTGTTTTCTTTTGAGAGAGTTTTGAAAGAAAGAACAATGAACATGAAAAGAGTATTTAAAATTGTTCATTTGCTAATTTAACAACCAAAGTAAAAGAAGAAAACTGGCTATAATACTTGACAAGATAGACATCAACATTTATGGAAAACAACACAAGGAATGGTAAGGTAGTATACGTTACTACTAAAAAAATATTGCACAACTTCATTTTTCCTCTTTTGGATTTACTTGCTCTAAATAAGAATATCTGAATTAAGAGTGGAGGACTGGAAAAGATTTCTTGTTGGAATGCAAGTCAACCCAAGACTATTTGCTTTAACTGCTTTCTTCTGTAATCAGTGCATCATTTGCAATGTGACTTCAAAGAACTGTCTTGGAGTACATGGTTGAGTGCAGCTTCTTACACAAGTTCAGCCATTTCTTGCATGTATGTGAAATCTGACGCAGACATGGAGTTCTTTCCCAGCATCTCTCTTTCAGCTATGGGTGCAATCTGCCAAAATGAATGGGGATGTTGGCTTGCATTGGAGTTGCGCATATACATTAGTTTGCATATTGGGAGGTAAACTGAGACACTTGAATGGAAATAATCTACAATGCCATGTGTAGCATTTTTGTGGGGTAATAAATATGCAATTATGAAAACTTCTGCATTTTACTCAGCAGATCTTGTAGAAATTATTTAACATGTAATCGTTCTATACTGTTAAGCATATGGTTGTCAGTGAACTAGTTTGCTTGAATAGAGTAAACAAAGTTTGAAACCTATTGGCTTTAAGTCAACTGTATAAAAATTACACTGAAAGAACATTTAAGAGGAAAAAACCCACATGCTAGGTGGATTAAAATAAAATACTTTACACTTACTCTCTTTTTGCATGACTGTCTCTACCAAGCAGCTTAACTTTTTCATTTCTGAAATGTAAATACTTGGAACAGTCCTTACTAACTCACTTCATCAGTCCTATGTAATTCTGTGCCAAATATTAATTTTGCATATTTGTACAAAACATAAAATATAGATTATTTAACATCTGCCTAACAGACAGCTATACCATCCAGCGGAATACAAAAGATACATTTAATGCAGAAACTAAGGAACAGTATGGTCTTCAGAAGCTACAAGCTACAAGAATGGGAGATGCAATACCTTTTATATGGTCCAAAATACCACTTTCTGAAGGAGGAAAATCTAAACAAACTTTGTGAATACAAGAAATCTTTATCTTGTCTTCATTTTACCATGTTCCACTTTAACTTGTCAAATGTAATTTTAGTTATTTGAATTCTGAAAACCATTTAGGCAGAAATGAAGCAATGAAACTGAAAGACTACAACTATAAGCACTAGTTTGTTTTCTGATTTTCTTTAATACCCTCACAATAAAATGTCACATATAGAAAAAAGATAGTGCATCTCAAGTTTGCTTACAAGCTAGGAGATCTTTTTTTGAAGTCCACATATTCCTAACTGCAAACAAAATATAGCACTTTTATAACAGGTTATAAATAAACCAGTTTTCAAGCATAGAGCCAGCCCAAACATAAGAATACACTATTTTAAAAGACCTAAGGCAAAATGGATACCATTTCCAATGGATAAAAAAAAAACTGTGCAAACAAGCGTAAACCTATTTTTGTGCCAGTGTTATGTTTCTTTTTTTGTAAATAGAGCATTGACCCAAATACCAGGAACTTGTGAAGCAATTTGAACAAAAAATGGCAATTTCTTTAGGAGAAAGGATACTCTAGCATCCCTTTCTTTTCCTTTTTAGTAAGAGTGAGCACCTCTCTCTCTCTCTCACACACACACACACACACACACACACACACACACACACACACACCCTCTTAGCACTCCTGCTCATTTCAGTGATGGCTGAGCAGAAGAACTTTCTGGTATTTTAAATGCACAAATTTAATGTTTAACATCTACTATTAGTCTTCACACTGTTCCTCTGGACGGATGTACTAAAACATCTTTCTTAAGGAGCAACTATTTTTAAGCACTGGATCAAGAATTTACATAAAAATAACATCCTATCTTTTCTATATTCTCTAAAACACATTTTTCCTCCATTTCTGTCAGTTACTGCGGCTATTCAGGATTTTTAAAAGTTTAGGAACTGAGTTTTTATGGTGCATGATTTTGTTTTTCTTTAGTTCTTTGGGCAGAATGGAAAAAGATAAAACCCATTAACAGTAGATGTCTTCCTTGACACGTGAGAAGCTCTGGCTCAGTTAGTTTCATATGAAGACAAAAGCGCTGCATCAACTGGTTCCATGCAGGAAGGACAGGTAAAAGATCTCATCAACCAGTCATCTATACAGTCCAGATGGTAAATGTGCATGCATGGCAGGAATCGGATAGGGTCTCCATAAACAAAGTCCATCATACAGATCACACACCTACAAAGGAAAACAAGGAGAAAATCGTAACTGCACAAATATTTATCTGACCAGCTCTCAAGAAAGCGGGAGGAGAAACCTGGTTGCTGAACTCACCCTCTAATAATATAATTTGGGATTTTTAAGGGGATGTGAAACTTACAGAAGTGAGCACTAGTCTGTACTCACCACTTCAGGAAGCTTGTATCTAATGTATTATGGCTGGTATTCTGTGCTTGCTTAACTGTGAATAAGTGCCATTGAAGAAATGGGAGCTTATGCATAAACATGCATAGGATTATGCCATAAAACAATTTGCATTGATGCAAATGTAATTGTAGAGGCTATGGCATAACTGTAGCAAGAAGGAAAAAATTGCCACTTCCCACCTTCCACCCCTAAATTAATCTGACTTGCAATTTACTGTTCTGCACAAGTCTGGATCCAATCCAGTGGGACCTATGTCTGGGAAACATGTATAAGATGGCACTGCAAGACTGCAAAATTCTTGTGGGACTTCATCTACAATTATAATGAAGTTACTACTTCTAGCTTTGCAATTTTAATACTACCCTTCTCTTTCTCTGTCCACTCATTTTGGTTGTCTCCAGCCTCATGAAGACTTTTGAACAACTCGAAAGATTGCTCAATGGTTTATGAAGTTTTGCTTGATCTTTATAGCTGTACTGTAGATTTTGGATTTTTTTTTTCTTGGATGGATGAACAAGGCATTTTCAGGTTGTTGCAGCTGTTTTGTATTTTTCTGAAATAGTTTTATATTTTAATGCTTCTAAATTGTGTGCTCCTTTGAGGCACACAGAAAAATCACATGTGAATCAAATTAATAACAAAATAATAATCCCATACTTAGAAGTTCTTGGAAGTCAGGACCTTCCAACTTTGTTTTCCGAAATCTGCTCTGATATCTAGAATGTGCCCTCAGTCTGACTAACACAGATGCAGTGAGATGAGCTTTCTTCCTGTTGCAGTGACACCTGGTTCCAAGATGCAATATTCTTTAGTATCATTACATAGCAGTTATTCCTGTCCATGCCTGTATTCGATTTTAGTGAAGCTGATCAAATTCCAAACTCTGAGTTCCACAGTATTAGTTTTTCTTACTCTATGTTTATTTGCATTGCTGTGACATTATGGAAATTATTACATCTAATTATTAGTGCAACAGAGCTCTGTGGGTTTAAAGGAGGCATGTGGAGTGAAACTGCTTGTTGCCCTATTATTTATAGGCGGTTTTTTTCCAAAAGCAAAGGGAAAGGAAAATTTCTTGAAAGAAAGTTGCTATTACATTCATTACTTTCTCCCTGTAGGCCCATGTTCAGAGAGCAGTTGAATGGGTTATAGAAGTACAGAAGAGACCAGGCAGTTCAAATATCCAAGAAAGCATTTTTTTATTATTTTTTGTAATCGTGTTTTTATTTCAGATCTTCACTTTCTCTCCACATTTTAAAACATTTCTATGATTGACAGCAAAGGTAGCCCATGTTGGGAGCACAGGCATTTGAGCAGTGTATACTGGTAGGTAAAGCTCCTCTTCCTATTTTATTCCTATGACACAGGAACTCTTAGCTAAGCCAAGGCCTGATCCTGAAGGCCCCTCAGCATATAGTTGGCACAAAGGGCAGCAATGGAAGGAGAATATTAGAGGAAACAAGAGGAAAATGCTGGGGAAAAGAGGGCAGGATAGCCCTTTTGAACAAGAGGCCTTACACTCACAAAAGGACCTGGATCCAAGTCATTTAAATTTGCTTATGAGGGTAGAGGTGGGTGCTCCCTCTGGAAGTGTGGGAAGGATTGCCCCACATTCATTCTCTCCACATGTATATGCATTCATATACAACATCTCCAGTTGTTCACTCTCTTTCTCAGATTCATACACCTATCTGTGCTCATCCACCCATCAAAACATACAGATTGTGCATATATTTACCCTCATACAGGGATGCTTCCCTTGTACTGTAATTAGGTTTAGAAAAAGCCTTCCACTGAATCCAGTGGAAAGTTTTCCAAGACAAATTGCTTCTGGGGTGTGTGTGAGTGGAGGGGACTTAGACTAACTCTTAGAACCATGAGAAACCCTTTTGGGGCTGCAAGTCCTTATGCCTGTAATTTGACTATAAAAAGCATTTTGTGGACAGCCCTTTACATGTTTTTTACTGTAAAATTATAGCAAAAAAATAAAAATTGAAAGTAGCTATGAACACTTCACTGAAGAGAGATGCTACAGCAGGGAACTCAAGCATGCTGCTTTCAATGCTATTCAGAGGCAACTTTGCAGCTAGGTATACTTGTTAAGAAAATTATGTATACTGTCTTCCTAAAAGATGCATGGTGTAAATTCACACTACTCCTTAGCAGTATTATTCAAACACTATTTGTTGCACTGCACAATTAACATTACAATTGTAGTACAAGACATAAATACAAGGCAAACTATTTAGGCAAGAGATAGTGAGAAGACTTTTAAGTAAGAAAAGTGCTAGTCTATTTAAGGGTCTAAGCTAGACACTGCAGATGTTTCTAGCTGGAGGGTTCCTAGTGCTACACATCAAAAGACACTGTGCAATTCTTTCATTTCTTCCATTCATTAATTGATTTTCTGTGTTAAGAAAAGTGACTGGAAGATTTTGTAAGAAAAGGGAATAGTTACAAGTGGAAGAAAATGGTGAGAGGATCCCCCATTACATGAGCAAGGAAGAACAATTGCAGAATAGCAGGCTTGTCTGCAAATGCTTCAGGATATCAGATAATATTTGAGGACAGAAAACTTTGTTCACCTGAACAGCTAAGAGAAAAGTAAAAAGAAGGAAATAAATTCAAGCAGAAGTGCCAGAAAGCAATATTGGAGTAAGTCAACTGGAGACACAGATGAGCCCAATCTCCCAGGTGAGATGAGGTTATCATAAAATTTTGTGTTTCTGTAACTTACTCTCTGATCTTTTTTTCAGAACCATCTCTTCCTGGATCATAGACTCCTTTAGGCAGGTGCTGTATAAGGCCTATCCTTTGCGCTATCCTAATTTGTTCTTCTTCTGTAAGCTGTGTTGCAAGGCGGGTCTGGCTAGGAGTTGGATGGTAAACTGGAACTGGCACCTGTTCCTAAAAATAAAGGGGGTGGGGGTTGAGAGGACAAAAAGAAAACAAATAAATCTTCATTGCCAATTTTAAGTTCATGACAAAATGGATTCTAAAGTGTATGGAAATTATTTACTTATTCCTGTTTCTGGTGAAAAAATAGTTGCAAGGCACATCCATCTTAGACCACAGTGATATGGCTTAATTATAAAGAAGAGAACAAAATAAACAGCATTGCCAACTTCACTGGGAAGCTGGCACTGATCTATTTTAAGCTGCTCTCTGCAAAGACCATTTAATTTTGTCTCCAGGAGTTCTCTATGGATTAGTTAAACAGATGTACAAACTTGACATGAGAATTGGCAAATTATGCTTAAAGGCTGGCTAACTGATTGACTTCTAGCCTGCTAATATAGAGAAGTTAATTTATGAAGTTCTGTTTATGCAAAGGGAGGGCAATCCATCTTTTTAAACAAGCAATAACTTAGACGTGATAAAGTATTTTATAAAAGTAACTGGATACATTAAAAATGTACATCTAGCAATGTTAATCAGATAACCAAACAGCCAAATATCCAAGTAAATACTACAACAACATACATTGCACCATACAAGTGGAAAGTCACATAAACTAGTATTTTAAAATGATTTTATTAATTTTCAATCTAAAATACAACCAAGAAAAAAAATTACAACTAAAGTAAAAACATATAAAATTAACATACAATTAAAATATATCTTAACAATACTGTACACCCACCACCATCAGGACCATGTTACAGATAGAAAACTCAATCAAACATTATTTCAGGGGATTGCCCCCTTCCAAAACTGCAATTATTCTTTTGGCAGTTCAATTTTTCCTCTTTTTAGCACATAATAAATGCTCCTCAAAACTCATTTAGCTTGTTTTTCTTTAAATGCCCTTTTCTCATTTTAATATCACAGGTTAATTTATCATTAATAGCTATATTCCATACTTCTCTGTACCTATTGCACAATTGATAGCATATTTTACTTTCCAATTCTTAGTGATGATTAATCTTGCAGCAGTTATTAAATTTGTTATTAGTTCTTTATTATTCCAACTCCATTGTTTCTTATCAAATATGGAAAGTAATGTTATCTCAGGATATGTTTCAATATTTAAACTTAGCATTTTACTATGCTCTTAAAAAACCTCTTTCTAAAACTTCATTATATATTCACATTCCCACCACATATGAAAATATGTACCCACTCCATGACCACATCTCCGACATAAATTGGAATATTATACATACAGTTCAACTTCATCAGAGTTAGATACCACTTCCATACAATTTTATATATTTTTAATTCCTACTGACATACATTTTAATATCTTCTTCCAAATATTTTCCCAATCTTCATTACTGATTTTCTTCTTCAAATCTATTTACCATGTTGCTATATGTGAATCATACTGATCCAGTTCTTCTAACAGTATCTTACAAATTTTACTTACTAGCCCTTTTATCCACATATTCTCTCATTTTCCCTTTCTATAATCATAGCTTCAAATTTTGTACAATCCCTGCACCTGCCTCTTTTCTTTACCCATTCTTTAGCTGAATCACATTATACCAAGTTATTTTCTCCTTTCATAGTATTGCTTTTATTACACTAATATTTTTAAAGTGAAAAATCTTTGTAAAATTCTTGAAAAGGCATTTAAGGTTTAGGTATCAAATCAGGTTATAAAATTTGTCTTCTGATTCACAGAGTTTAGGAAAACAACATTCTACATTCTTATATTTGATGACATACAATGTGTTGGATCCAGATTGGTCTTTCCATGAACAAAAAGGACTTGTGTTACCAGAAGGCACCATGATCCAGGGGAGGGTATTGCTGGAGGAAGGGAGTGGGGACTTGATATTTGTTTCAAGAGTTTGCAATTGCCAGCTGGCTATTTGCTTTACTTAATTCTCAGCCTTTGGAAGTTCAGCCTTTGGCTGTGGTGTTCCTGATGAGCAGAGAGATACTTCATATCTAACTTTTGTCAGTGCAACCATGGAATATAAGACTTTGCTAAGATAAGATTGGGCCACACATGACAACTCAACAGGATGGTTACTGCTAAGAATAGCCAAGTCTCCACCATTCATCTAGATACCTGCACTTAGACTACTGGCAAAGGTATTTGTCTTATCTAGCTGAAAGCACCTCCTAACTTGATCTTACCTCTCAACTACCTGGTCCCACTGCCTGCATCTCTGGCACCAGTATAAATATCCAACCCAGCACAGGGGTTGGGGGCTCACATCTGCATAGTGTTTGTTGCTGATATGCTTATTTATCTGAGCTTCCAGGTGACAGTACAAAATTAGGCCGTTGTGCAGTGAATGTGTATACATATAGCACATAGTATTGCTGTCATACATCTCCCCAAAAGCTGTTACACACCACAAGATGGAGTTAAGCATCTAAAAGTCCATTTTGTCCAGTGTTTTTAATGGCATCAGTGTTGGAATATGACTGCAATGCATAGCTGCAAAATGTAGTTATTTTAATGGTGATTTCCATTCAATTCAGCTTCCCAAACCACAAAGCATTTCTGTAGTTATTATTTGAAAAATCCTTCAGTGTGGATTAATAGCACAACCCTTTTCATGTTTACTCATCAATAATTTCCACTAAAATAAATGATTACTCCCCAGAAAGAGGGTTTAGAGTGGTCTTAAACATTAGTGCACAAATTGCTATGTGTGAATCAGTCTTGTCTCGATGCTTCAGTTTTTGAGTAAATGACTAAAACCAGCTATTCTCATGTAATGGCTAGAATAAAATTATCAGGTTATCCGGCAGACTTTCTTTCAAAAGTAATTGCTCCTTTATGTAAAATGCAAGAATTATTACAAAGTCTACTACATTCATGAACACTGAATACAATTTTTTAAAAGACCAAATAATAATGGTGAAGCATCCCAGTTTAATTTAAGCAACTTCTCCCCGCAGCAAAACCAGGAACAGATGGCCAGAGATGCCAGATGGACATCTACTAATCTACAGAGGAAGGGTGCTTATAGGCAATGAAAATGAGGGCTTCCCCACTCTGCTCTTATTTGTGTCCTTCAGTTCTAATCAAGAAGTACAGCTTTATTGTTGGACAATTTATGTGTGTAGTTTAGAGAAGTTTCATTGTTAAATATCTTGATATTCATACTGCCTGATGTCTGTCCCATGTGCAGATAAGAAACAAAAATTAAATACTGATATTCACCAATTGGGACCAAATTAGATACAATAGTAGTAAATCTATGTTTTTAAATGCAATCAGAAAAGTGGGATTTTTGTATTTTTTTCAATAGGAAATATCACTAATTACTAATGCAAATTAGATGCATTTGTGTAGGATCATTTCTACTGACTTTTCATCAGAAAATTTTATGTTGCCTTAGAAAGATCTAGTTACGCATGTTTAAGGATCCAATGTTGATTATTGATCCTTTACTCCATGGATCTCTTTGACATTAAAGGTTTGAGGGGGGGAAATAAACATACTTAAGCAAAGCCAGAAACCTGCTGGACTTGGAAGGCAGGGCAGGGTAAGAATCTGTGAGGAACCCGTTTTGAGGGTGGGAATCTATCAGATTCTCCGGGGTTTGCTTCCTGGACTCTGGTTTGCTTTGTTGTGGCCCTGAATCAAAGCTTCTGGTGGGCATGCCCACTGTTGATGCAGTGCATACCAGGAATTGAGCTCCTCCCTGTACATGCTGCGGATTTTGTTTGTGTTGATGCATTTAACATGGATGACACTTGCCAGCTGTGCAATCCTCATTCCGTGAGTGTTCACAGACTTCCTCTTGGCTTAGTTTGCTTGCTAACACTGGACTAAGCACAAGAGAAAGTCTGCGAATGCTAGCGGGATGGAGTCCAGAGTTTTGTCCTAACTGTACAGCAAGACAAGTACAGAGGTTATTTTCACCCCACTGCTCCTCCCACTCTACAAATCAGCTAGACACTGCCTATGGCCACCCAGCTGTGGCACTTTGAAAGGGGAGAGAAATGAAACTGAAAGGGGAGCGAAAGAAGACTGCAGTGCTCACAAGATTGTTTTTAACCAACCACCTTAAAAAATTAATCAGAACCCTGAATTGCCAAGCTTGCCTAATACTGTATTTGCAATTAGCATCTATTCATTGCAAACAGTGGACCTATAAAATGGGGAAAAAATCAGTGGAAAAATAAAGCAGTGATTTTTTTTCTGCAGAAAATTTTCCAAATCACATCACTGAAAGCAGTAACAAGTTTGCATGACATGAACCCATCATGAGTGACAAGCTCTGGTGGGTTATCCTGTCATGCAAACTCAGACTGTTTCCCATAGGGTGGCCACCTATGGCTTATTTTGGGGATTGTTCTGTCCACGAGTGGATTTCACGTCATTCAAACCCAGGCAAGCAAGCCCATTTTGGCTACCAGGAAGTGAGTACTGCTTCTCATGAGCAGGTACTACTTTTGGCAAGCTTGCTAGGGTCACCACCACCAATGCCAGCTACTGCACAAGTGCCTAGATGGCATTTTGGGGCAAGTGGCACACTGGCTAGGTGTCCCCAGCCACAATCACAAGCCCTGTTTGTGGCTTTCCCCCCACTTTATTCTTTTATTTTCCAGGGGAAAAAGACAATATCCAGTATGACAGACAGTTTTCTTGATCTCCATTTTAATAGCCAGTGACCACCCCTTCATAGTGCCTAACCAGCACATTTATTTATTTATATCTCATTTTTATACTGCCCAATCAATGGCTCTCCAGACAGTTTACAAAGTTAAAAGGACATAAAATCAAAAACAAGAAATGGGGAAAACCCTATAACAATAAAACAATAGGCCAATATAACAACAACCATGACAGCATACCCTAACAATTAATCAAGTTGGCATATAGGCACAGCAGCAATGTCTAATTAAACAATATTAAGACTAAAAGTTAACTATTAAAATGCCTGGTAAATAAAAAGGTTTTCACCAGGTGCCAGAAAGAAAAACAGTAGCTGCCT